CTCTGTTCATCTCTACAGTTAAAAATGGATAATATATTTTATGGCGCTATTGCTAAATATATTATATTAAAATGTTCAAATAATACTCCAATTAATACATTTTAAATGAAGCAGATATTTTTATCAAGACAATTTTAGAATATTTACAATCTAAATTTGATTTTAATAACTCTATTTACAAATGTATAAATATTATGACCTTGGAACAGAAACCATCATTTGAGGTTTTTGTAATTTAATAAATATATTGAAAATACCGAAAGACATTGATGTCTTGTTTGAGGAGCTTGTAATTCCCTCTATTTTTTATGCTTCGCCAGAATACTTACTTAAAGTTAGATCCTCTAAAAGCTGAGGAGAAATGGGTAGAATTTTTTCGTAATAACAATAAATCCCCATGCTGGGAAAAATATGCGACTATGTCTTCTCCTTACCTCATTCTAATGCCTCACCCGAGCGCATTTTTAGACTGATGAGGTCTGCCTGGAAAAAAGAGAGAAATCGGATTGCTTTAATAACATTAGAGGCCGAGCTAATGGTTAAACAAATTTATAATATGTCATGCCAGGATATAAATATCTCAATAACGACGGTAAACGTTATGTTCCATTATTTAAATCTCAAATAAAATATAATTAACATTATAACTATTTAATTTTCCATATTTTTTTTATATTTTATATAATCATATCTATACATTCGCGTAAAATAAATATATTTTTTACATTGTAAATCAAAAATAGAGAGCATTACAATCTCCTCAAACAAGACATCAATGTCTATCGGTAATTTTAAAATATTTGAACATTTTAATATAGTTTTAGCAATGGCAACTGTAAAGATGAACACATCTGCAGCATAATTTTGTGAATTATTGTTAAGATTCTTCTGATTGCAACTGCACATTAACAGATAGTAGTAGATTTCCTATATATAAAATCATTCCTAAATATACCTCTGCCATTTATTATTGAAAAAAATTTTCAAAATGTTAGAACAGCTTTTATAATCTATATTTAAGAAATATTTTTTTATAGGTTTATAAAATTTTATAATTCTATCGATGGCGGGTATTAGGAACAAATCGCAACCAACATTCTGCTGACTTAATTCTATAAATACACTCTGGTTTTTTCCAAATTCACTGAGGCATTATCAGATCAGAAAGCTGACATGCATTCATGATGTTCCCAAATCTGCTATTTTTACCATTATATGGTTAGCTTTTAATTATTTGAGGGGAAAAATTTTTATAGTTTAATTGAAACCTTAATTTTGTTAAAATAGCGGAGGATCAAAGAATTGCATATGTATGCCCATCTTTCAAATCGTCAAGAATTGACATTCTGGATTCAGGTTTTAAAACATTGATGATATCCTTGCTTATTTTTGTTCTACAAGTAAAGTTTTCATTTATCTTGGAGTCGTTAAATATTATGGGGAAAGATTCTACCTACATTGTAATGATAAGTAATTCTGTGAATGTTGTACTATAAGATAAGTGATTACAATTGCCGCAACTGTGTGGTTGCATTTGTATTATTTCTTATTTATGATGGATATTTTTGTTTTGCAATGAATGTAGATACACTCCCCTGCACGGATTATAATAATGTGATTGAACTATAATAAATAAAATAATTATCATTGAAATGAGTACAATAATATCTTATTATGTATTTAAACTTGATACGTGATAATTAAGCGCCTATCCCTATAATGTTATACACACACACGATAGATTTCCAATTGCAGTCTTGCGGGATATTCGCATAAAATATATTTTTTACATTGTAAAATTAAAATCGTTTGTTTTTTTATAGAATTTTATCTTGTTTACATTCTTTTATATTTAAAAAAGATCGTTGATTTTTTTATATAAATTTATATATTTTAATAAATCAAGATGTTATTTTATTTTGAAAAATATTTACCGACTTAGCATTTATATAAACTAATTATAAAAAATAATAGGCGGATAATTAAGTCAATTGGCCCGCAAAATTATTTTTTAGCAATTTTATATTTCTACCGCAAAATACTAACTTTCTCCCGCAATTTGTAATGAATCTGTCTCTACAGCGTTTGCAGTGTAGAGAGTGACGGCCTTTGGAGTTGGCCGACGTTTGATAGAGGATACAGTGATTAGGTATTACCATATCGCAATTCAGTCTAAGACCGATGGCGTGACGTAGCTCATCATTGCTTAGGAGCTGGCCAAGGTTTCGGGATAGGAAAGCCTCAAGAAATTCGTATCCACTATCTTCGTAAATGGAGAAGAATAGAGTATGGGCCTCTAGTTGGCTCCTCGATTTAAGGAATGCAACGGATTTGCCAACTAGAGGTTTATCCTAATCCTTCTGTAATGCCGACGATGGACGATCGACTAATGAGAGGGACTTCCATAGAACAATTGCCTGTAGGAGTAAGGGGTCAGGATGTTTTGTTAGTGTTTGAATGATGGGCTCGCACGACAGGCGATTCATCTAATAAATATTTAGATAGTCTTATTAATTTTTAAATAATAAAATTAAATCTATATTTTACTTAATAGAATTATAAAAGAAATTTTCGGGGGCAATCAAAAAAATTTATTTTTAGTTCAAGGGGTTAAAATTCCATTAAAAAAATTTTTTTTGCTTCAAGGGGCTATTCAAATTTCCCAGGGGGCTCGAACCCCTGAGCGCCCACCCCCCTCCTAGCGACGCCACTGTTTTTAATATATTAAATTATCACTATTTTAGATTTATCTTAAATTTGTTTTTAAAATTATCAGCTGGGATAACGTCGCGTTAAATAACCGAACGCTTGAAGATAATACGTTTAGTTGGTTAGGGTCCACCTCTTCGTATGAACATTTATGAAAAACGTCAAATGACCTAAATTGGCCACAAATATATTTGAAGCGATTCGTTGTAACAGATTTGACAAATAAATTAAAAAATGCTTTTTATTTTAAATTAAATTTAAATAGCTAAATGTTAATTAATATTTATATTAATACAAGAACAGTATATACTAAAAAATAAATTGCAGATAATTTACAATATTTTAGCAAACTCTTAATACTCTAGATCTATTAATATATAATATTATTAATAAAATTTATATCAAATATCTCATAATAAAAATTTAAATTAATATATAAAAATGCAATCTCCTTTTTTTGCATGATAATGTATAAATTGAATTAAATATTTGTTAGAATAGATAATATTTTTGTTGTATTTTGATTTAATCAAACTATATTGAACCATTTGATTGTTAGAATTGTTTTAAATAATAGCTTTGTTTAAAAATGATATATATATCTAAAAGATACTATTTACTTAGACTAATGGTATTTCTTTTATGGGCATTTATTTCCTCCAACTCTTGGTTCATAACTTTGTTAAAAAATAGTTATACCAATATAATTAAAATTTACTTGTACTATTTGTGTTATCTAAAACTGGACTATTTGTGTTATCCAAAACTGAACCTTGTAGATTAATAGCTTTGAATATTGTAAATATTAATTTGACATTTTACTTTGGTATTCTGCAGTAAATACATTTGATACTATAATATAAATACACAAGCATTAATTCAGTAATTAAGGATATAATTTAAGATTAAATATTAATCAAATTTGGATTGGTTTGCAAGTTTCTAAATGCTTTATGGTGATGCCAAGATAGTGATATTAAAAGACATGTTTTGTATGTATCCTAAAATGCATTAACATATGATTTATAAGTCCATACTGAATTATGTTAAACTATATTTTAAAAAATTAAAAGGAGGATTAGTCTTAGAATCATTTTTTTTAGGTATAATCAGCTAATCTACGTTCATAAAAATTCACTTAACTAAGAAATAATTAAAACAAAAATTATCTTCGTGGGCTAGTTTTGGCAATATTATATATGTATTAATATTTCATGCTGACAAATAATGGATATCCAAACTACAAAATGGCGCTACAGCTGATTGCAATATGAGGACACTTTTATCATGCATTTAATGAATCGCCAATCAACGAGGCTCCGAATTTTTAACGCCACAGTCATTCCAGTCCTCCTCTACGGGAGCGACACTTGGGAAATAAATAAATCTCAGACAAAGAAAATACAAGTTTTCGTAAACCGCTGTCTGCGCCAGCTCAACGGTATTTTCTATCCAAGAATAATTTCGAATGCCAGCCTATGGCGAATCTCAAAAAATGTCCCGATCGAGACTACTCTCAAAAAAAGGCACATTCAACTCTTTGGTCACACCATCAGAAACTTCAGACAAAACATAGTCCATGAAGCTATAATCTGGCTCGAGTCTCATGAAGGTAAAACATACGGTAAATACAAGTCATATTGGCTATACAGAACGATAAAAGAAATCATAAGCCTAAATCTGACGATGGAACAATTCATACGTCTAAACAATAATAAAAGCTCAATAAAAAAGCTTCTAAAAATTAAATCGGGCTACCTGCTCCCTCCAAATCTCTTAGCCCCCCCAGCAACATAAGCACCACTTTCCTCCCGCCATGGTAAACATACATTTATTTATTTATTTATAAAACTCTTCATGTACCTAACCTTGATATAATTATCCAAAATATACTTAACTCACTAATCTAATATTCTTAAATAGTAAGGCAGATTTATTTAAAAAATATATCATATTTATATTAAATAAACAAATTCAATATAGACCATAAACTTAAAATTTACCAATACCCCTCCCTATAATTTACATTTTACTTAATCGGGTACGGGCTTTTCTCTCTCTTCTTATTTCCCGTAGGCGTTTAAGCAAGTGGTTTCGCCTCTTGCGCGCACAGGTAACTGCAGCCTGCCCAAGAACTGTGGATGGGCTCATCTCATAGGTTACCCCCAAATTTCTTAACCCAATTAGATGGGATGAGATAGTCCAAGCGTAGCTCTGCTGTTTCATATAGCAATAAAGGGTAATTGCGCTTATTATGACGTATGACGTATATTCATTTTTCTATCTTTTGTCATCAAACCATTTGGAGTCAAATGGCAAATTATTTTTTCTAAAATTTCTAAAATTATATTTTTGTAGAAAATTCTAAAATTAATTGTAAATTAAATAATATATACTTTAATTTCTAAATTATTTGTTGATCTATTGGAAATTTTGGGAATCAATTGGAAATAAGACAAATCACCTATTAAAAAAAAATACGAACTAGAGGGACGATATGTCACTTGAAATTGCCAAAGATGCTGTTATTTGTTATGATTCCTATATGAAAGGGGCCATAAAAATTGGTTAATATTTAATATATTCCTTATGCCATTTATAATTAGGGTTTAAAACGATTATACATCCAAAAAGTAAGATTTACGCCAATGGTGGTCAAATATTATTTGGTGATCATAACATTGTAGAGGAATTATGCGTTATAACAAACAAGTAATGCATTTTAGATATATACTATAAAATTTATTTATCCACCCAGGAATAAATCAGATGATAATATACATCCTCTAATGATAGGTTCAAACAACATTTTTCACTTAGGAACAAGTTTTTTTAAAATTATAATATATAATACATCATGCTGAGGTATTTTATAAAGATATAGAGTTTTGAACATATAATTCCGTAATTTTTAAAAATTAATATCAAATTACTATTGTTTTGATAATCTTTTTTTTAAAATATTTTTATTAACTTTTAATACTAATTATTATTTAAAGTATCTAATAAATATAATAATTTATCAATCAGTTGCAGTATGCACACACTTATTCAATAGATGCTGAGGATGGCAGGGGATTATCATATTTTAGAAGATAAGTATCTAAGGTTTTCCAAAGCTATATCTTTATTCTTGAATAATTTTGATAGTTTAATTTCTAAGTCAGCCTAATCATTCAGAAAAGCCTTTTTTTTTATTTTGGAAATGAGTCTTGACACTAATCCAATCATGAATGTCTTATTAATCTTTCCACAATAAAGATTTTAAATGCTGTCCTTTCTTCATTTGCACTTGGTAATGATGAAGATAATTCAAAATTAATACATCACTACATGGCTTCAATATGATTGAGGACATCCAAATTACCAATTAAAATAATTGCATATCATCCAGAAATTTTTTTTAAATCTTGGGAATGAGTCTTGGCACGAATCTCATCCAAAGATGTCTTATTTTTATCAATTTTCTACAAAAAAGGGAATTAAACACTGTCCTTTCTTCATTTAGACTTTAAGATAATGATGAAGATAATTCAAAATTAATATTATCATCACTAGCACTACATTTCAATATAATTGAGCACATTAAGGTATATAATTTTATTTTTTATTTAAATAAATATAAACTAAACAATAATATAAATGATTAATATATAAAAGTAAAATAAAAATTAATGTGTTATTTCAATATATTACCTGATTATTTATTAGAAAGAAATGACATTAATTACCACATTACTTTTGGAATATCAGTATATAGCAATACTGACAATAAGTTTATTTTAATTGCTTTTATTTGATTTAAGCTTTTAACCAGGGTTGTGCATTTGACTGGTCAAATACAATTCGGTGTCAAATATGGTCAAATTCAAATAAATGTTTTTTACACCAATATTAACTTTATTTTGCATTTATATAATATTATATTAAATCTATGTATAATAATAAATATAATAATATTTTTTAATTCATTCTATAGTCAATGTTTCACCCTCCGTGGCAGAGTCTTGTTCCGATTCATATTCAATATCATTATTTTCTTTAATATTTTTAATCAATCTTAAATTATGATACACTCTTACTAATTTTCCTGCTGTAGAAGCCTTTAATCTATTTCTGTTTTTCGTGTGAATATTGCCCCAAACTGACCAATTTCTTTCAGAAGAAGAAGTCGAACTAGGAAATGTTAGTAAAATATTAGCGACTTCTCTTAATGGGCAAGGTGGGCAAAATGCATTCCACCAACTTGAGGCCGAAATTTGATTGTTTCTTATGGAAGTTACAACTTTCCACATATTATGGCTATTAAATATACCGCTTTTGCTTCTGAAATTTACTATATTACTCAAAATATTTTGATTATCACCACCTTGTAAAATACCCAATTATTGTATTATATTACATGCTTCATCAAATTCAGTATTAGTAAGATGCTCCCCTTGATATTGGGGGTCCAATAAATAAGCAGCATTGTGAGCACATGTATTTAGATCAGTTTTTCTCTTTTCAAACATAACCTTAATTTTTTTTTCTTGAGATGGAGAAAATATAGAATCATGGCATGATTGTATTATGTGTTTTTCCAAATTAAGCATCTCGTTTTTTACTTGGGCCAAAATACATTTATCCCCTTGCACTTTCAACAATGAGGTAGCTAAAGGTTGGAGTATAGCTAAAAAAATTTAATTTTTCGTCCAAAATTCTTCGTTTAATATATTATTGGTAATTTCTATGGGACAAATATCACAAACAGCTTCTTCAACAACTGATGCTTTTAGAGCTTTCTTGCATATTTGAATTTGCTCCATACATTTTATTGACGATGCCCATCTTGTTTGGCTAATTGTATTTAATGTAGATGGTATGCCATGAAGATTCTTATTACGGGAAAATACTGCAGCTGGTATGTGTTTAATCTTGAAAAATTTAACAATTTTTTTAATTATTGAAATATGGTCACTGAAGGCGTTTCGTGAAAGAATAACTGCAATGTATGCGCTGCACAACCATAACAAAAGTTTAAAAAATTTTAAATAAAATATACATAATAAAATTTTGATTGATTTATTTTTGATTATGATTAATTGCTTTTTATCAATTCATTTTAGCAAATCATTTTAGCAATACTGTATTTAGTCATACCCTTGCCTCAGATCATAAAAAACTTTTTTAAACACAATTAATCATAATAACATGTCCAATTACTCTATAAAATAACACTTTAAGCATTAAAATATAAATAATATATAACTTTTTTTAAACACAATCAAACATGATAACATGTCTAATTACAATATCAAATAACGCCTTATTCCTTAACAAATATAAATAATCTATTATATAACATAAAAATATAAATAATCTATTATTTAACTAAAAATATAAATAATCTATTATTTAACAATAAAATTATAAACCTTTTATCAATGCCACATATAAGAGAATCTACATGAGGTTATCAAAATTCGAAATCTGCAAAATCATCTAATTTTGAAGTGATCTAGAAATAGTTCTAGCTAAAAAACCTACATCCACCTGAAGCTCACCTTCAAAGATTTTCTAGGTTTTTATCTTATCTCTGATAAAAACTATCGTCTTCCATATGATATGCTTTATTATTTGGGAAAAATATTAATAACAATTTGGCTCAACATTTATATTTCATAAATTTAAATAATATATATTATTTTTATTCATTTAACAAAACAAACACATTTATTAATTGAGATTATTTTTGAACAATTTATGCAATAAAATTAAAGGCGCGGAGGAGCGGCACTCCTCCACTCAATCCCGAAAAGGAGCTAGTTCCGCTCCCGCTCTGTGAATTTTTAAATACAACGACCCTCTAAGTGTTCTTGGAAAAATTAAGCGGCATGAGTTTTATTAAAAATGTAAAAAATAATTACTTCTAGTCGATATATTTTTTTTAATGTTTGAATTTTAATTTTTTATCTATATTTTACATATTTTTCTAATATAAAATAACGCTCCAAAAAATACTTTTGAAGTAGCATTTTAACACTGGGTTTGAATAATCAAATATTTTATAAAATGTTATTATATTTACAATATTAATTTATGTCTATTTATATATGATAGATTGTACTGCATCAAGAATTGGTAACAATAATATTTTCGAATATAAATGTAAAAGTTTTGATTTAAAAATTATATTTTAAAAGTAATGACTCGCTTCTACCCTCCATAAAATTTGCATTCGATTGAAAATAAATATGATTAATATTAAGTAAATTTAATACAAAACCTTATCACGAAACTTAAATCATGTAGATTTTTTTAAACTTAATCACAAATTCTTTACCGCAAATATACAATACCGTTACATTAGAGCTAATTTTTTATCGCAAATATATTGGTGCTGTCATTATTGTACTATTTACAAATTGCTAATGATGGTGTGAAATAGCTTCATAATGAAAAATTATTTATATTTGGTTTAAATAAACGATTTTAAACTCGAGCCAGGGCCTTATGTAGACTAGTGTGGAGATATTATATATTAGATATAGGCGAAAATTTGATGTTGGCTGGGGTTTTGTTCCAAAAATATAATGCTAAATTTTAAAATTCGTTTTAAGAAAAGTTTCTTTATACCGCTTGTATGATTTTATCACAAACCTTCATTGATATCTACACTCCTATGTTTTAGCTTTAAAAAATTTAATTATAAAAATCATGAACATAAAAAAAATTAAAAATTTACTATAAATTATTATATTAAAATTTAGTTACATCACCTTTATTCTTTATAACTGGTTATCCTTAATTGCATTTATTTAATAAGATTACCACACACATTTTGGGACATAGATTTCTATATAAACTATTATTATATAAAAAATCTTTTCTTTTAGATCGATGTTTTTTAAGCTCGTAAACCCCAAATTCTTTCAGTAGGATTGAGATCTGGAGCATGATAATATATTGATATATCCTTTAATGTTTTACAGATTTAGAGATAAAACAAAGTTTATCTTATTGGAAGGTGTATTTTCCTTCATGTCCTAATAAATGAATTAAGTAGATCATTATTTTATTTAGGAAATTTTGATATTTAACAACATTATTTATAAATAGAATATTTCTAGTGTTGTTGAAAAGTAACTAATTACTGTTTAAGTTTCATTTAAAATAAGGAATTCACTTTAGTTATATTTCAACAGTAGCCTGTTACATTGCAATTTACTTTATAAACTATTTATATAACCATCATTTTTAATATTTATTTAAATCAGATTAATTTTAATGAGACTAAAGAGGCTTGATTAAACAGGAATTTTAAATTTGGAAAACCTCTTTATAAGATGATAAAGGGTATATAAATATTTACTAGTTACTTTACTTTAACAACACTAAATACTTCCTAAACCTTTTGCACTCTTGCAACCCCACACCATTATACTCTATGAAAACAGTTCTTTATAAGCAAACCAAATAAAAAATTTCCGCTTATGTTTTTATTACCCTTATTATACTGCTCCAAATATATAAATTTTGATTCGTCGCTGACTAGTTCCCCATTGCTATTTTATCTTATTTACGTAAACCGATTTTAATTTTTTTTAAAAATGGTTTCTTAGGTTATATGAATGACATAAACCAAGTTATTGTTTATTATCTTACAAAAGGAATATCCTATTGAATGTAATCTTAGTTAATAATGAAACTTATTTCTCAATTGTAGAAATCTCAGCAAGTAGACAAAAAACCTCGCTATTTTTATATTTCTATAGTATATCTCTAATAGTAGATCGACTTTTGGTTAATCTCTCCTATCTTTTCAAATTTCCTCTTATATGAGTTAATGATTTTATGAATATAGTTTTTAATCTTATCTCTACCCATTTAAATTTTAGGGCGACGATGATTCATAATTTGCAAGTTGTATCCATAGTTTATTTTTCGAAATAAATTATTATATTTATATCTGCATCGACGCAATATAACAAAAACATAGAAAATTACATGCAAAAAGTACCTTAAATAACGCGAAAACATGCAAAATAACCCGATATCAGAGATAAGCTCGCAAAATATGCAAAAGCACAAGATATGAGGCAAAATATGCAAAAGCACCTAAAATGATTGAAAGCACACAAATGTAAAACGGCACAAAACATGAACAAAATTTGCAAGATAACACAATAAGCATGTTAAATGACAGTGGAGTTTTTTTAAAATCGAAAATTCCCTTGCCCTGCATTCAACACACTATGAAAATATTTTTCGCCTCTGATCCTAGCCAGTTTGTAAAGTATCACAAATATTTGTATCTAAGATACAAACAAGTTACTTTAATTTCTTAAAGTACAATCAAACCTGTCTAATTTAAGCATTGGATAATTATCATATATTTTTTTTTATTAAGTAGAATTTTTATATATAATTTTTTACTTTAGACTAAAAATATTTTGAGTAAATTGAGATTAGCCAATAGAGGAAAATGCTCTCATTTAAATTTGAAGGTCCATAACTCTGGATATATTTGAGCTAGAGTATTAAAATTTTGATTTGCATGCCAAGTTTCTTCTATTTTAAAAATGATCATACAAAAATCCCTTTTGGTCGATTTATCATGGAATTACCCAAAAATAAACTCATGATCTTTGTTTGTTTATATGATAGAATATGTTTTATTTGCACGGCATTTAATAGTGTCTTTTGGATTTATGAATATTGTGAACATTTCCTTTAGAAATAATATTTTAGCACATTCTTCATTGAGTATGATGATTTAAAAATTTAATAACCTCAAAATTCGTTTTATTTGTTTTTCTATTAATTTTGTTATGATGCATAAGTCAGAGTTGGGCAGGTCCTACGGAAAATCTAAATACAGATACAGATTCTTTGTGAAAAAATGAATCTTAGATACAGATACTAGTATCTTATCAAAAAAATACAAGATAAAAAATACTTGTATCTTATGCTAAATTAGAGTATCTTAAATACAAGATACTTTTAAATTATAATTACCAATTAAATTAGAATAGTTTTATAAAATACAGTTTTTATTATTTATTTGTAAAGAACATAACATACGCATATAATAAGAATGAATATTTACAATAATTAATAAAATATTTTATCATGAGTTAATTATAATAATCAGGCATTTTAATATTAGTAATAGCCCATTCTTAGCATTGATATGGGAGGGGGACTAGTATTTTTAATGGGAGTTCAAATATTAATTTGATAAAGAATATTTAAAATAGATTCATTATTTTAAAAGTTAATCAAATTGTTCAAATAATTTATCAATAGACCTTTGTTTCGGTGTACTTAACATTGTGCCAAAACTAAATAACCTTTCAATTGGAGCTGATGAAGGTATTGCAGTATTATATTTATAAAAAATTTCCTTAATGGAAGAATAATAATTTAGCATTTATAATGTATTTCGACTTTCTTTAATATAATTTAAAACCTCCAGTTTAATGTTATTTGTATTATGGAACTCAAGCAACATTTGTTTCATCAAAAGAAAAATAATCAGATGTTAAATCTATTGGTGTTTATATAGTGTTTGAGCTTGATTATACACTCTGGTACTACATTTAGGGCTTCTTTTATTAATATATTTTGAAACTATTTTTTTTTATCATCCGACTCAATCCATAAGTTCCTAAAATTTGGATATGATATTGATGTCAAAAAAGCCTCATTATATTCAAATCATAGGAAAATATTTTCTTAAAATTTATTGCCCATACCATCTTGGGCAGCTTTTAATAAAGGTAGACAATATTGTAAACTTGAATTTTTTAGATAACCTGTTTTTTTAACCACATATAAATGATATAATTTAATATGTTTAACAAAATCTGTGTTGAACCTTTTATCATTTTTTTTGTTTATACAGGTTTTATATTCAGTCCATTGTCTTTTTTAAATTTTATTTAAAAAAAAATTCTATCTAAAATTTTAAGATTGGGGAACTTATTTCCATAATTTAAATTTTATTAACGTCTTCTACACTACCATGAGTGTTAATCATCCTATAAATTAAAAAATAATACATAAAATTGACAGTGATATTCTATTCAGTTACATTTATATATAAAATATAATCTTTATACTTATTTAATTTAGTTTTATTGTTATTTTTTTATATATCTATCTTAATATGAGTTGTAAATTTTCCAGCTAATTATGATTGTCATTATTATAAAATATGATAGAAAATAAGGAAATTAATACAAGATTCTCGAAGAAAATAAAATATTCAATATGTGGTATTTAAAATTTTAAACATGAATTTTAAAAAGAATCTGTATCTGTATCTTTTATCAAAAAAATTAAAATTAAAAAGATACAAGATTCTTCAGAAAAGAGGATCTTAGTTACAGATACTAGTATCTTATTAAAAATGTCAAAAAGATACTGATTACAAGATACAAAAGGATCTTGTATCTTAGATACAAGTATTCGCAGTACCAACTCCAGCTTAAGTTTATAAAGATGATAAAATTTTAAAATATAAATGAATCCAATAAAAAACATAAATTCTCATTTTATAAGAAGTCTTACGCAAATGGACATAAATTAAAAATCTGCCCACTTAAAGTAGACAATTGTCCAATTTACCAAAGCATTTTTTATTAATAGGAATTTGGCTGGGACTTAAAATTTTGGTCAAATTAGCTAATTGCCCCAATTATCAAGAACCTAAATTAGACTGGTGACTGTATTTTAATTTATTTGTCAGTAAACATTTATTTTAATTAACATTTATTAATAAATTAAAACAAATTTAGAGGCATTATCACATATCTAATATTTACATACCCCACTAATCTATATCAGGTCTTCTCCCTACATGATATAAACGAATCGTAATTTGTTAACTGCTCGAGGGTTTCTGTGAAAAAGATTTTTTTTACTGTTCAAATTATTTTTCAAACTGAATAAATTATTTCTTAACCTGAAATATTTATCACTTTACTGAATGAATTATAAATCTATATACTGATAAAAATGAAATATACGGATTAAAAAAATACTGCACATTTCATAAGAAGTAAAGTTTAATTATTCGCGATTAAATTTATCGATTATTTTAATAATATGAATTTTGAAATATGTCAATAATAAGCAGCCAAGATGTCGTTAAAATGTAAAGA